GGGTAAGTCCTCCCTGCAAGTAGTCCCCAGCCTGTGACGACATGTTTGGTATGCGCAAGGAAACGGCTTACCTTTCTTAATTACAGTTTGATCTGGGATGTTAATACCGGGGTCTTCTACGTGCTGCAACAAAAGGAAAAGACAGGGATGTAAATGTACAACCACAACAAAAGGCAGGGAGGGCTGGGGCGGGATGGGGTGCGGGAGAAGTTGTGTCCCCCCCGTCCCTGGGCACGGTGCAGGGAGGGAAAGGCGGCTTGACCAGCCGAACCCAAAACCAGAGTGGCCTCTAGCTTCTGCGGGCTCCCTCCGAATCCCCCTCCCCTTCCCTCCTCCCCGGGAAGCAGCCCCGGCCCGACCCGGCCCTTCCCCGCTCCTGCGCCCGCGGGAGGGAAAGCACAAAGGAGCGGGGACCGGAGCGGTGCCGGTAAGGGGGGGGCGGGGGGCGGCCCCACGCACCCCCGGGCTCCCCCACTATTGTCCCCTCGCAGGTTCCGCGGTCGCGGCTACAGCTGGGGTTCGCGCGGCGGAGTCACGACGTGATTAGAAAGTCAAATGAAATCATGTTTTCTAATTCCAAAAACTGACAGGCAATATAATGTCTGGCTGTGTTTACAAATTAACACCAGTGCTGCTGAGATAGAAGATTTCGCAATCGTTACAAAACGCAGGCATTACCATTTAAAAAACTATTACTTCCTTCTCTAGTCTTTGTCCAACAATAATACTGATTCTAACATTTTCCATTCTGTCTTGGATTTATGCTCCTGTTAATTGTGCCTGATCTCAATGATTCCGGGTGGATGGTACTAAGTTGCTTTATTACAGGTTTTATTATACTCAATGCTCTCATTTGTAACTTGCCTAAAGTGCTTCTGGATTTAAGTATAATTAAATTGAGAAATGTTCAGAAATGACTACTGCTGCAGTTCTTGTGTTTTAACTATATGGGGAAATATGATCCCTTTATGCATGCACCCTAAACCCATAAAGTAAATGTAGTGTGGCATAATACTTTTATTTGTGTTATTTCTACACATATTCCATACAGGGAGGACTGTTAAGTTTAAAATCCCACAGAGATATTTATGATTAAATAATTTTCACCGTCTACTTGATTTTCTTAAATATTTAGCGGTCTTTTTTATTAAAGGTTAACTGTTGTAGCAACGGAAAAATTCAAAAACGACCCTTTCTTGACCCAGATCTCTGTAAAGGATTTTTTTTTTGTTTGCCTAACTAGATAAAATGCTCCTAAAAGATACATCCTCTTATTTTTATGCTTTTCTTCATGCAGCCTGCTGATTCAGTTTTACAGAGGAAAAAAAAATTGGCTGGGCTGGTTTAAGGATTTAAACCAGATGGCATTTGGTTTTCACAAAGTACAGCAATACTATTAATTCATAGATCCCTGAAAGGCAAATCAAATTATTTGTACTTAAAATATCTGCAGAGGAGGCTTCCCGAATGAGCCCACTGCCACGGAGCACCAGTGTGGAGAGGGAGAATTCAAGAGAACATTTTAGGTCATGTTCTTCCTACAGCAATCAGGGGCTTGCAGTCAACAAATTAAGTTTATTCTTACTATTGCCTCCATGTTATTTTATATCAAGTTTAAAGAATCGACCTGCTTTTAACGGATCCAAATTGGTTACTAAATCCTCCACTTTGGGAAACGTATGCGTTTATTGCAAAACTGCTAAACATAACCAGCAATTTTCTGTGGCTAATTTAGCCAGATGAGGGCTGTAATAAATTCACTATTTTCCCCGAGTATAATTTACAAAAGATTTCAAAATGACCCCCAAAAATAGGTAAGTTCATCTGAACATTATCCTTGCAACACGAAACTGTACTCATTAAACTGTCAGCGAATATATTGTTGTAATATTTGATCCTGTAATTTGGGATGGCATTTCAGCAAAAATCACATCCAGATACCACAGTTCCCTCCTCCTCTTCCCTTCTGCAAG